GGTATTTTTTATCAAAATGTTTCATCCTGACAGGAGTACCTACTTTGGAGCCAGTAGGTCTGTGTGCATACTCATCGCTTTGCAAGACAAAGGTTATGCCCAAATGTTACTGTGTCTGTTCACAGCCTAGTTCTTTATTCTTTTTTATGGCTTTTACCATTTTCTACTATATGGCTGACTATAAAGTCAGACTTTAAATGTGTCTTATTACATTCTCAAATGATCAGAAAATTTGAGGTTATGCTTGCTGCTTTCTTCTTCTCAGATGCCAACTCCAACTCACCTAGTGTGTTACAGTTTTTTGGGGAGCTTCTTTTTGAAGAACTTGCAATGCCTGACCAAAGGCTGATACGGAAACCATGTTCCTTTTGGGAAAGGATGGGCATCAAATGTTCAGAATCACAGTAAAATGCAGACAAATTCACTTCCAGCTCAGTCCCATACCAAGGCTTATCATTTATGTAGGTATAGTATAGAGCTAGCTCATGTACTAGAAGTGCTTTGTCTGTATTAGCATATTATTAACCAAAATGTACTCAACGGGTTTTAACATTGCGAATAATTTTGTTTTTCCTTTCTTGGCTTTCTAACAGTCTTATATGACATTTCTAGGCTTACCTTACTTGAAATTTGAACTTTAGATTTAGCGTTGTAGAGATGCTGCAGAGCTTTCATCTAATTCTTCGATATTTTAATAAACTCAGAAATTCAGATTTATAACAGAAACTAGATATAAAGGATAAGGTCTTTTATCAATAACCTTCTTCCGAAGCATACAATTGTAGTATGAAATCAAGTAATAATGAGAACTGAAAAAATAAGTAATTGTGATAATGAGGTTGAATGCATGGTAGAAAAATCGGTGTTTTTTACCTAAGCACACTCAGATTTACTGCAATAGTTAAAATGTGTGAAATATATAACAGATGAGCTTAGACTACAAATGTTATTTATAGTATGGATATTATTTCTATCTACAGAAAGTTTTTTTACAGCTGTTGAATCTGCATAACTTGATTAGCAAAGTACAGAGTGTGCCTGTTGCTAAAAGACTTGCTTGAGCCCAAGGGCAGGAGCAGGAGGAACCTCCTGAGGTAGAACTGTTCCTTTGATAGGGAAAAGAAACTTTAGAGTGCACTTCTGCTTCTTAAAGGTAATGGCCCACCTGTATCTAGTGTGCCATCTTAGCTGAAGTCTCGAATACAGACTGTATATTTTGCAGGAGTTAATTGAATAATAAACCTGGCTATATTTTTGTGGTACTCTGCTGCACTTGTGTTCTAGGCAGCAGCTCTTGTTGATACATTTAGTAAATTAGATCTACTGAATCTCTGAATCCCAGCCAAGATTTGATTATTAGGTGAAGAGCTGTTGTAATACTGCAAAATTATTCCTCCGCAGGAGAATGCATATGTATATATCTATACATATCTGAAGATCGAGCAGCAGCAGAAGGTTCAGAACACTGGCATGTGATCCCGCTTCAGGGATGACACTTCCCCCTTTATGTTCTTATGAACTGCAACTTTATGAAAAAAATGTGCCCAACTTTTAAATTTCTGCTTATATATATATACATCTGAACTGTCTGGCCTGAGAGCATGCTCTAACTCGTACAACATGGATAACCAAGAATATATATATTTTTTGTAGTTAAATCCTTTGCACTGCTCTTCTTTAAAGTCAGAATAGAAGGAAAATACCCTGTTCGGGATGATCCAAGGTCAGGTGTTCACCCTATAAACTGCTATTGTTCAATTCTGGAAAAAAGGAGTGTATGATAAATCTGTGTGGCAGATTTTTCATCAACTGTTGTGTCATATCTCACATCAAAAGTACAGGGAACTCCAAAGAGGATGAGCAATGCTAGCTTGGTAAAGAGACAAGACAGATTCTCCTTTTTAGAATTTCACTACTGTTCTTCCTTTCTTTTGCATACTATTCCCACTATATACATTGTCTTTCATTGCTCCAGCAAAAGGAATAATACATATCTTCTGGAAATGTTTTTGCACAGAGTAAGTTTTAGGATGGAATACTAATGGAGACTAAATGGAGATTTCTTCTTGAGGAAGACCCACTGTCCACAAATTCCCATGCAAGCTAACATAAGCTAGATGATTAAACCAAAAATGGCTTACAAATTATTCAGTAAATTAAGCCAAATTAAAATTGCTATTAAAATTAAATTAAAAATAAATGATATTCTGCATCCTTCCTAAGGTTTTAGCAGAATGAGCTTACCTTGGCAACATTACACAGCAAGGCATTGGCCCACAGCTCTTTCCAGCATCTCATTCCCTTTACACCTCTCTAGTGTAGTAATTACACTGGCGCGCTAAATGCCCCCATCGACTGCAAGAGTCAGCATCTCTGCTGCTGCAGTCTTTCATCTCCTTTACCCTTTAGATCCTGAGCTGGTCTGTCTTTTGCCATCACTAGGAAATAGCTTTTTTTGGCCATTATGTCACCAGGAGCCCCAAGGAGAAGGTGTGCAATGGAAGACCCCAGATATAACAGGACAGCGCAACTCTGGTTCGGGGCTCTATTTATTGCGACAAATTAATATCAAACATGATATTGGGATAAAGTTATGTAAACATAATCCATTTCTTGCCCGGTAAAAAATGAGAGAGGTTTCTGTGGTGCCATGTGTATTAAAAGGGCTGTGAGAAAAACATCAACAAAAAAAAATGCTTATTCTGCACAAGCACTATCTCCGTCCCAGCTGTGTCAGGATGGCCACTTCAGTGAAGGGCTGAGTAGCCTGAGTTCTCCCAGAAGGGAGAAGTAGTTGAAATGAAGCTGATCCAGCTGGAAGGGAGGAAGAGGAGTTATGATACTTCCTGGGGGACAGCCACAATGGCACCTGAGCAGGAGGTTTAACCAACCCCTTAATGATTTTTTTTCAGGTTTCTCTCCGGATCTGTTGCCTCCTGCTTCTAGAACAGACTCTTCTACTCTGTCTCTTCTCATATTGGTGGATTTGGGCTTGGATTGAACAAGGTGAGTGAGGGGTGGAAGAGCTGGCCTTTGTGTCCTTTATACCATATGCATTTATAAAAAGTAGAATCATCAAAACTTGTCATTCCTAATTACAGTGTTCTTTGGAGAATCATAAAAGTACACCGGGACCCCAGAAGTTCTGTCTCAAATGCCTCATCTGCATTTCCGTTTTCTTTACATGTGTGCTACTACAGTCCTTAGTTTATGTTGCAATTACACTATGGTTGTACAGTGTTGAGATGGATTGTAGTGCAGAGAGACTCTTTCAGAAGAGAAATTGAGAGGAAAAAAATTTTTAAGGTAAATTACAAGCATCTTAATTCAGTTCCTTATACCACAGCTTTTGTTGCTGACATTATCTTCTGTGAACATACCATTCCCACCCTTGCTGCTCTGCTGTTGATAATGGCCTTAAAGAAAGCACAATCTAAACTAGATTTTTTTAAAAGCTTTCTCCACTTCATTTTCTTTTACTCACAGGAGAGTTGGTCCACTGTGCACTCCCAGAAATGCATCTTCATTGATAACTCTCAGGTATTTATTCTTGTGCAGATAGCTGTAGAAACAAAAAATAAAAACACCAGTTATTGACAATGGTTATCTATATGTTAAGGGAAAAGATCTTCAGCTTACTTACCTAAATAGATTTGCAAAAGTAACAGGTATTATGATATCCTATTCCAACAACATACCAAAGTATAAAAAATTATTTTCCTTGTACCCAATAAGCAACTGTTGGGGAACAGGAAAAAATACAGATTCATCATTTTGAAAATAAATTAAAATTCTCTCTCAACAAAGAATCAAAATGAATTATCAAATTCTCTTTCCTTCCATTATACTCACGAAGATGTGCATGCATGCTGTATCTTCAGTAAATATGTGTCAGGATGAAGTGAAATAGACTGCTTTGCTTTCATCACAGTGAGATATGGGGAATTACATGACATTTTTTGAAACACAGAATGAACTAATAGAAAACTAATTTCCTCTTTGAGTTTGACAGTATAGCTTTAATTGCTTTAAAGTCTCCTCAGGAAGTGGAGACACCTATACATAGGTCAACAATTAAGTATGATTTTTTTTTAAGACAAGCGAAGGAGGGAGAGAGATGGAAGAGGATAAGCCTGAAGGAAGTAATACTCCAAAACTGAAATATAAAAAAGAATGTATACTCAAGAAGTAGAGAATGTACAGAGTCAGGGTATAAAGTGCATGGTTAAAGGCAGGCAATGAAATGCTTACTGAATACTCAAAAGATTCATAGTGCTGAAGAAGAACAATCAACTTTTAATTCAATTCTTTTTTTTTAGATTGCATTTTAAAGTGATTGACCTAAACATCTTGATTTTTAATTTGATTCCTTGCTTAAGAGAGGCGAAATGCGTCTGTCTTTTATGTCTGACATTTTCTCAATAGTCTCTGATATAGTTTGTCCAGTTTGTGGAAAGACTTGGAAGAAATAACTAGTTTCTTTTGGAAGAAATAACTAGAAAAGGAGAAAGAATAAATTTCAAAACATGCAGGAGCAGTAGGAGAACATGTGTCCTAGTTGTTCTGCCAGAGCGTTGGTCACATTAAACTTAGGTACTGAGCATTTCTGATAACATTCTGTAGAGAAAATTTGCATGCAAAATACGCTGAAGTGGAAAAATATGTATTACCTTTATGCAAACGGTGAAGCTTGTGTGTGTTAGTTGCACGTAACTGACACAGAGTTAAATATGTGGTTTTGTAATAATTGGCTAAGTATTAATTGATAGTATCTGCTTTCTTTCATTTTCTGATTTTAAAATAAGCCAGCAGAGATTAATAAATGAGGGAGAAAAAAAAAGACAATATGATAGGCCCACATTTAAGTATCACCACTATATTGTTAAATAGGCTCTGGACATGTAAGCTGGTTACTCTATTTATATATCCTTTCAGATCTAAAGATGAAGTTGGAGAAAAGGAAGTGAGAACGAAAAAGAGGTGGTAAGTGAGCAACACTGGGGACTCGTACTCTTCTGCTACATCACTGTTTTTCTTGACAGTGAACTCGGCCAACCATTGCAAATGATCCCTGTGAATGTACACTGAAGTAAATAGATCTTGGCGGAGTTATTTTTGTACTTACTCCTATTGTACATACTCCTTTTGTACATACTCCTATTTCTCTCTCTCTCTTTTTATTTTTTTATTGTTAACTCCACAGGATCTTAGATCAGACCCGGAGGCAACAGGCGTATTCTTCACTATACAGTGTTGGATAAACAGTAGTTTAATTTAGAATGTCAGACTAGATAAAATGAAATATTTGCCTTTTGCATTAAGTTGACGCTGCTACAAACAACAAATCTCCAAGCTTTCACATAATAAAATTAATACCTTGGCATATGGTAAACAAACTACTTCAGAAGATCAACCTGGAAATTTCAGTATAGCTTGTTGAACAGATTACCACTCTGCTGCTTATCTTGCCTCGGAAATCTGGAGTGGTGTTTTTGCTCCAGGTAAATGTCATGTGATTTACTTAGGAAAAAACTGTTATAATGAACCATTTTTACTACTGTTGGAAGAAACCCTGAAGGTAGGCATGCTTTCATTTCTTTCTTGGTTTGTTTGTTTTTTGTTTACCTAACTAGGACATCACAGCTAATGCCTGAAAAGCTTCACTGAAACAATACTAGTTATAAACTTTATTTTTTTTTCTAAAAGAGAGAGAAGTTTTCTACTTCTCTACTTCTACCCTGTCCAACAGAACTTGGGGGTTTCATATTCAACTACATTTTCGCTTGATTCTTTAATAACAATAGTACTTGCACACTAGTAGAGGAACAAAAGAAAAATCAATGCAAAATCATCTCCAGACTGTGTTTTATCAAAATGTAAAGATAAAAGAAATATAAGAACTGAGCACAGTTCATATATTAGCTAAGCCTTTGAAAAAATATTAAGTACTGTGCATATGACTGAGAAGGATTCAGTCAGGATACTGGATTCCATTCAGTTTTTTTACACAGTTTTACAGCTTGTGATTTCTGTTGGCAATTGTACAAAAACTGTGTCATCATGAAAAACTCCCAGTCTCTTATGAAAGTTTAGTGTAACTGAACCAATATGAATGAAACAAGATATTTTCCAAATGTTTAACTCCATCTATTCCAATCTTTAAGTTTGTAACTTTTCAATATTCAGGAAGTCTCTCCAAATGTTAAGGGAAAAAAGGTAGTTTGAAAAGATTAAAAGCATTTGAAGGATACTATTGTTATAGAGTTCAAGCACATTTTAAAATAAAAAAGTATTAAAATAATCATATATACCCTAATGCACGTCTCTGGTTAATTTAGAAGTTCAAAATAAGAAACCTGTTTCTCATGTGAGATCCTGCCACACCCTTCACTCAACTCCAGTCTCCAGAGCGGACCTCTACAATCTTCTGAGATTTATCCTTTCCAAAAGACTGATGAAAATCATTGTGTGTTTGGCTCAAAAAGGTCAATCACAGACTATGTAGTATTTTCCCAGAAATTTGTACAAAATAAGGTAAGAGGAAAAATTGAAGGGTTTCTTTATTCTTTCACCATGCCCATTTTCATTTTCCAATGCAATTGATTAGTTCTTCTGAGTCACTTCCAGTACCTTATATCACTCTCCTCTTTTTTTTTTTTTTTTTTTTTCAGGAAAGAGATTCCTGTAAAAGGGCTGATAGTGCTATCCTTATTTCATTTATTAAAATAATCAGCCTTGTAAATACAACAATAATTATTTCTGAAATTGTCTTAGAAATATTAATGATGAAAAGAAATTTTGCTGACAGATGTAGCTTCAAGCCAAGAAGTTGATCAAAATTTGCACCCAACTTACCTGCCATGATTTTATTTCTAAGACATAAAAAAGTATATCAAATCAGAGCACACTTGCAGAAGACATTAAAGACATTAAGAAATGTTCATCCGACTTTTTTTTTCTTGGAAGAAGATCCTGAAAGAATGATCTGCTACTTACACAGCATCCAGATTTGTCCCATTAAAAGCATGGCCTTGGATGCTGGTAAAACCATTATTGTACAGTTTCCTGCAAGAAAAAAAAATGTTTATTTGGGGATGCTTCAATAAATAGCTAAATACCTAATGTCTTATGTATCATTTTTCTTGGCAACAGCACATTTATGGATATTTAATTTTAATCTTCTGAAGAAATGGCAGTTACAAGACAAGGTCAAACAGATAGATGCCTTGCAGCATTCTTGCATGTAGCTAAATCAGGAATACCACCTTCCAGGTAAATCAAGGAAATCCTGTGAAGACTGATTGAGGAAGACTAAAGAAAATAATACATAACAGAATAAGTGTGTTTTTAACATAAGGCCTGGTTGGATTTGTAGAATTCTTTCTTTTTGCTCAGGGCTTGTTTCCCTATCTCATTATAGTCGTTTTCTCTCCCTTTCCCTCCATCCTTTCCTGAGGTGCACACTGTGTTTGACTTCTATAACTGAACTGCATCTAACATTTTTTTTTCCCTCAAATCTGGATCCTCTGCCACTTGCCATCCATTAGTAAGTGTCACTTAGCTTGCAAAAACAGTTTGACACCATTCAGGGCATGCTGTAGCTAATAGAACTCTGCACATTTTTCCCATTGATTTTCTGCAGTATAACACTTTGTGACTAGCATGGAATATCATGCTATCTTCCGTTATTTTGTTGTTGTTGTTGTTGTTTTAGAATGCCAAGGAAAGACCAGTTTACTGAAAAGCAGAAGCTCTGATTCGAATTACTATCAAAGTGCAGGTGCTATGTAACCTGTACTATGGACAAAGCTTGTCTGTGATGTTTCTCTTATAGACTACTAGAGAATGGGACTGAGTTATTTTAACGTGCTATATGTTTGACAGAACAAGGCAATGTGATTGCCTTGTGACTTAAACTGGGAGAACTTACACAGTTAGAGATTCATTACAGAGCCCATGGAAAGCATTTGCAGGCACTGAAGTCATGAAAGGATTATCTGCAATTTCACTGAAAAAGGAAGCAAAAAATCCACAGTCAAACATCTGCATAATGGAGAAGATTCTCTAGAATAGTTTTCTTATTAACTGATTTATTAAATGTTCTCTGCCTAACTAATCAATATAAGTGTGAAATCACAGAATCACAGAAAGAATTTGTTTAGTTATACCTAAGTCTCGGAGCTGTTCATGGGAAGCTTAAGAATCAAGCACCTTCTAGCATTCAAGTGAGCTTTATTATATTATTATATTATCTGTAGTCCTGGTAAGGCATGTCCTGTGTGATTAGTAGTACATCCTGATCCCTTCTCTCATAAGCCAAAGAATCAGGAAGATAAATAATGCTGCAATGTCAGCTGAGTTAGCCCAAATTACTTTAAAAAGGTGATCCTGCTCTTCAGCTGAATTAACATGAATGAAATTATATGAAGCAACATTATTTTGGATAGAATAAGCCATCACCATGGCAAACTGGCTCTATGTCAGATCAGTCCTTGATTGGTCCCCTCTTTAACTTTATATTAACTCAGGTGTTGTGAAGCCAGCTTAAACAAAAACAAAAGGCCAATAGAAACTCCCTATCGTGAGCTTTGGCTAATTCAAGAGAAATGTGATGTCTCATCCAGATCAAATTTATAGTGCTAGATGACACAGTACTTCCCAGTTTTTGATATTAATGATTATTGAACTATAGCTTGTGTTAAACTGTAAATGTTTTGACAGACATTTGATATTTTTCTTTAAAATGGAAGCCTTCACCATACTGTTTCTTGTGGTTTTAAACCAGCATTATTTTCACAAGCTGTGAGGACAGATACTTACAGTAAAAAATTCACATCAGTTGAAGAGATTTTGGTGAGGTCTGGGAATACTTTCAGTCCCGTATTAAAAATTCCACTGAAACAGAGGAGACAGAAAGCTACATGATGCAGACCACCAAAGGAAAAAAACAATAGTGTATTTAGAATATACAGCAGTGCAGAGTGGTTGTTTCATACCACCTATTGGCAATAAATTTGCATATAATCAACTCTTTGTAGCTAAGGATGATAGAACAACACAAAAATCAAATAGCAGATTTATAAAATCTGCTATAATCTAATATAATCTGCATATAATCTAAAGGATGTTGAACTTGGAATAAGAAGGTAGCTAATCAGATCTGAGTGGAGGGGTGGGATACTGATTTCCCCAGTGAAATCAGTAGGGGAGAAATAGTTATAACTCCAGATTCACTTGACAAATTCAGGCTCCTTAAACCAGTCAGCTGGACCCCCCAAACCTCTGTCATTTATTGTGACTAAGAAAATACCTCTAAATACCTCCAAATACTTCTAAAGGTGGAAACAATACAGTCTTCTCACTGTCAAATTTTACATAAATATAGTTTATTTCTGAACTTTTGTAGAGTGAAAACAACTTAAGAAAATAAAGTCCTCAAATTTGAAAACTAACCTCCTGAAAAAAAAAAAGTAGTTCTGGTTATACTTTTTATTGTTTTCAGATACAGAGGAAGAACCTGGAAAATCTTTCCTCCTCACCAGTACTGCTACGCCTACCACACGCACAATGCCCTTTCTAGGGTCTTCCAAATACTATTCAGAATCATAGATATTATGATCTTTCTCTTTCTCATTCTCTTATGCTATAATCTTATAACTTCAAGGTTTCATTGCTCTGCACTGCTCTTGAGAAACCTCTTGGGAATATGGAAGAGCTCTCTGGACTTTTTCTGCTCTAGAAGTTGCGTGAAATCATGTGTCTATGGATTGGTTTGTCACAGGTAAGCAAAAGTATTTACATACATGTGTAAATATGTAAATCTGACAAGCACCAAAGATGTGTATATTTCTATTGTGTGTCTCTGTCCAGATTCCCTACACAAATGTGGTAAGTTAGTTCTCATTATTAACAGAATACTAGCTCTAGAATTTTGTGAAGGAAATGTTTGTACATTCCGATTATTTGATACATAAGAAAAATGGCAAGGTTACTGATGAATTTGTAAGCTTTTTTCCCTTTCTAGCAAAATCAAAGGTCCAACCTAGCTAAATGTCTGATAACGAAAAGGAAAAAAAAAAAAAAAAAAGAGGGGGAGAGAGAGAGAACAATAGGGGAAACACAGCAACCAGCTCCAAAATGGAAAGGAATGAAAAGAAACTGCTGTAGTGTGAAGATTTTAAAAAGTTCTCTTTGAGCCTTAAGTGCCAGCTACTTGTAGATCCCCAGTACTTACAGGTATTTCAGTAGTGGGAGGTTCTTAAAGGCATCTGGATCTATGTAACCCAAGTTTCTAAGATTTCGAATTTCACTGTAAGAAAAGGGGGAACATTATCACATTGAGCTTTTGATATTATTTATGGAACAGCAACCAGCAGTATTAAAGTGGAAACTAATTCCTGTAATGAGCTTTCTTATTGTGTGGGTAGAGATTGCCATGCTTTTTGGGCCATCTTATATTGAAGATGCAGTCCTGGATACTGTCTTGTTTAATCAAGGGGAAAGAAACACCTGAAACATGCGTAGAGTTTTGTGTCTGTAAAATTAAGTAAGAAGAAGAAAAAAACAAGAATAAAAACAAATATTTGATTTCATGAGAGTTTACTGTTGGGGCCTATCAGTGCCACAGCCGTCATCATCATTACTGCCAAGTAAACCTCCTTCCTTGTAACTTAATTGTAACATGTGCATTATTAATATAAGTTAACATTAACAAGTTTAAACATTTAAAAGAGATTTCAATAGAAATGTAGAATCTTTCCTAAAGAGGTAGGAATGAGATTTAAGCTTAGGAGTTTTATTCCTGGTTCTAGCAGTTATGTGCTATAACATCCTGCATTGTTAATATGGCCTTAGTTTAGCCACAGCAATGTAAACAAAAGTTCCTGCAGAATATGCAAAGCTTGCATGTTTTTACGTTCAAAGACCTTCACATGTGCTAGGCCTCACAGTCCCCAGTGCAGTTATTATTTTGTGATATATAGATTAAGTATATTTTAGGTAGGGCAGATGAGATCTCTACAAGAAATCATCTTGTAGAAAAGAATACAACACCTGTAGAAGAGAAATTTAAAGTAATTCTGGGCTCTTTACTGTGTTGTGTTCACAGTAATGTCCACCCAGATGAAACAATGTCTCAGGCAAGTTTGTATAGTAGCACCCTCCACAACAGCTGGAGTGAAAGCTGGGGTGGAAGGAGAATGGTGTTGCAAGATACAATAGAAACAATTATATATATATATATATATATATGTTTGCAATAAGCATTCCTCCAAATTGTTACAAGACTGTTGTATAACCCCAATGACTCACAACAATCTATTTAGCTTTATATTTTTATGTATGACTTTGTTAATTCCTTCCTCTCTTGTTAATTCCTTCAAGTCTCTTAACAGTACTTTTTTCTGCCTTGTTTGCAGAGCTCTTCAGTAGATTTGGATGGTTCAGTCATTTAAATTCACCCTATTTATTGCAATGAACACACCAGTCATCACATCAGTGATGCTTAACAATACAAAGGATAGCGTAACTCTGTCTTCTGTTGATGCAAAATGTAACATAGACTTCGTTTCCCACATCCTCTGCAGAGAAAGACCTGGGCGTCATGGTGGATGACAAGTTGAGAGCTAAGTCTATATTTAAAGTAAGAACGAGATCTCTAATGAGAATGAGTCTCTAATGAGATTATACCATGTTAATTCCTAGGTCTCCTTTTTAAGAATTAAATTTTAATTATCTTTTTCTATTCTCCCAGCACATTTCAAATCTCTAAACTAAGAAAATTAAACTGTGAAGTCTTTTCTTAAAAAAAATCAAAGCTATATTAACACCTTTATTTTCTTGAAAAATGTAAAATATAGATAAGGAGTACTGCCAAGATGAAGTCCTGCTCAGAATTCACTTAACATACTATTATAGTGAAATTAACAAAGTCTAAAGAAAAATAAAAACAGCATATAACCTCCACATTTTCTTAATGTGATTAAAAAGTCACATTAAAACCTATATTTTGATAGGTTTGATTCCAAGTCATATTAAAATCTCTATTTGAAAAAAAGCAGCCAAGAATAAACCAAGGGGCTATGCTGGGGACAGTGAAAACACTGAGACACATACATGGAGATAAATGCATTAGCTTTCTTTGAGATAATTAAGTGGCTCAAATAATTTAGTCCAAATAAGTGCCAGAAATCTCCTTGACCATTCAGTGCAAAGAGTATGGTTTCTGTTCTGAAAGGAAGTTCATTCTTAAAATAACTTTTGCACTCAGACTGTCATAAATCTGTCAAGGTGCTATTTCAAAAGCAAGATAATCATCAGGAATAGGCCAAAGACTGAGGGGTGCACACGATTTTCATTAAAGGTCACATGCTGTTCACTTCTGTGGGAATTTTGACTTTAAAAGTAATTTAAAAAGACAAAATTCCATTACTTGATCTGACATCAGGCAAAAGAATAAATTTTATGAACACATGAGGTGGTAAATTCAGATTAAAAACCTTCCATCAAGACTCTCCAGCTGCCTTGAAATCTAAATGGAAGTATCAAAATAGACAGCCAAAAACAGGGCCCAGAGAAGGGAAAGATGCTAATGGCTCTGTTTTGTTTTTAATTTTGTTACTGTGAGGCAAGTAGCTTTTAGAGGTTTTCACCATGCAATACAAAATAAATATACAGCAGCTTTAAAAAAGCAATCTAGGTGAGCTAATAATAACAGTTGCTGTAATTGCATGGAGATGTATCTTCTCTGTACTATGGAGTGCTAGCAGATGGAAATCTGTTTGTGTAAGGTGAAAAATTCAATCTATGCTTAAATCAACTCTAATTAAATTAGGAGACATTGTCAAGGAAAAAAGAATCTTTTTTTCAGTGTGAGGAAAAAATGTTATGTCTCCTTGTTTAGGAAAAGGCTTTAGGAAAGCCTTTAGGAAAATAGTGAAAGGCTTCACTATTTTCCAAAATAGTGAAGATTCTTCATATTTAAAGAAATTTACCTTGTTTTTGTCAAGACCTAGAATGAAGTTTGGAGCAACAGCATTCCCTTTTTCTAGGCTCTCATGTTGCTCCAAAAGGGGATCTCCCCTGCCCTTTGGAGCTGGGTACACCAAGCATCCTTCAATATATGGCACAGTAGTTCAGGAACTGGAGAGCATATCTTTGCTGTAAGCATTTTAGGGGTCTACAAGACCCTGTATCAGTCCATTTAACCTGTGGGACTTGCTAAGCGAGGATTCAGGAGAGCGCTGGAGGGTTCATAAAGCACAGGATGCCCTGGCAGCCTCCCGCTGTCGGCAGGGCCTGGGATAATCATAAAGGCTGTTGCTGACCCATAGGCCAATGTTTCTAACGAGAATAAACCACACATTGATTGAACCAAACGTGTGCATCAAGCTCGGCAGGGCCTGGGATAATCATAAAGGACCCATAGGCCAATGTTTCTAATGAGAATAAACCACACATCGATTGAACCAAACGTGTGCATCAAGAAATTGTGTTTCATACTTGTGGCATCTG